TGCGTCCCACACAAATGGTGCTGAGGCCACAGTTTCCTGCTACTTATCCAGAGAAGCTTCAAGAAGTTCATAGAGATGCCTCTCTTCTAAATTGTGTAAAATAGAAGCAGGAAATGAAATTAGCCTTTAATGAGTCATGCATTTCTACTGATCTGGATGGGTCTCTTATGAAAACAACTTTTTAATCTTTATTCCAGAAATGCACATGATATTATTATTTTTAACTGACAAAAATTGTACATATTTGTGGTATACAACATATTTTAAGATCTATATATCTTCATATATCTTAATATATAGATCTATCTATATAGATAGATCTTAAAATATGTTGTATATATAGATAGAAACACACACACAAGGTGAAATGGCTAAGTAAAGCTAAATATACCTCACATACTTACTTTTTGTGATGAGATCATTTAAAACCTACTCTGTTAGCAATTTTTCCAAGTATACACTTGTTATTAACTATAGACATTATATTGTACAATAGATCTTTTAAACCCATTCCTACATGTGATCTTTGAGAGACATTAAATTGAAGTACTCTTTTGTGGGAAAATCTATATAAGCAGTTGGCCTTGTAATTTAGTGTCCAAATCAGCACACTCTGGGAATGAAGGACAGCACTATTAATAAATACTCCCGAACAACATGTACAAACTAGGACTATGCCAGGCAAACCAAGAGTCACCTTATATGCAAATAATAGGCACATGAACATGGTAGTCCTGTGTTTCCCCCTGACCCAAATATGTGCTTCCCCTCCATGCAAAAATAATCTCTTCCAGAAGAATGTGCAATTAGAAATTTTAATTTTAAATTGGAATTTAAATAGAGGTTTCCTCTCTGTGTTTACTTCTGTTCATAAAAATTTACTCAACGTGAGTCCATTCTTGAAAGTAAAGCGATGGCACTGGAAATTTAACAGAAAAAAACATAAACAAAGATCAACAGATTGGACTGAATGTGCTTGTGGCTATGTCATAAAGGTCTCTTAAATCTGTTTAAAAAGATCTAAGTTAGGGGTTGGCAACCTTGTTCTATAAAGGCCATACGGTAAATATTTTGGGATTTGTGGCAGGGAGGAGTTGTGGACTACACAGTTTCTATTGTAACTACCTTGCCATTGTTTCAGTGACAGCAGTCATAGATGTCATATAAACAAATGGGCATGGCAATATCTTAGTGAAATTTTCTTAACCAAAATAGGCAGGAGAAGGGGACAGGTTTGGTGCCTAGTCATTTGTCCATTTCTGTTCTAGTTATCCATTTTAATGTCTAGAAACTTTGTTCTGGTCGAAGACAAGTAATTTTAGATTTTAATTCTGATATCCCCCACCCTCCTGTGACAGACTGGGGCTGTGACTAATGGGACCAGTGGGGAAATGCATTCACTATTTAGTATACATTTCTGCTCTTGTGTGCTCCAGTGATTCAATGCATATACCAAGGTGGGTGGATGAGGGACACCCACCCAGCAACACTTTGGAAAGGGGATGGCAGTTGTGTGGGTTTTGCTAAGCATTTTGGAAGGAAGGTTGCAGGGATGCAAAGCTGTGGAGTGATGGCTATGGTGATGTGGTTTTTCCTATAAATGGTTTTAAAAAAATCCTAGATTAGATTTTGCCGTGGGAGACAGAGCAAAACTGCAAGCACCCAAGGAGAATGAAGTTTGGGGTCTGTGCCTACACTGGGAAAGATTTGACTCAAAATTAAGGTAAGTGATCTAAAGAATCACTTTAAACTAGTTCAGCACTTATAGTGTAGAATAGGAATGAGCTGGTCAAAAGAAAAGTTCTAGGAGAAAATCCCCAAATGTCCCAAGATGTTTCCCTTTAGGCATAAAGCATACACTAACAACTCAGGCAAACCACAACAAGGATGTGAATGATATTAAAAAGAATTAAATAGACAGTGTATGACGTAGTAGGAGACATGACAACATATACCTGATGTGACTGTGCATAACACAGATGTTCATACCCCTCTGCTCCATGGTAAGAAACTGCTGTAATTGCAAACTAAGTTAGGAACCGTGGAGGGTGACCACAGTCATGTTACCTGTTCTAGTTTCCACTCACCAATGGGGTATATATATGGTACATTATACCAAGAGGTAAATAGTATCATAAATAAAGGAAAATCTTAGAGGTCTTGATTCCTATCTGTGTTGCTCAGTTAAATACAAGGGATATTAACAGTCATAGTTATTTAGTATAATGTTTTTGAGGAGACCCTTTAATAATTGGTAAGTTAACTATAATAAGTGATCAATAGCAATTATCTTTAGCATCTTATAGTCTATTTGGGGGTGTATTTGATATATAAAACCGGAGACAATATATAAAGCAAAATACACTAAAGGAAAATTAATATTGCCTCTGCAATATGTTACAGAGGAGACACGGTGAAAGAGTTATCTGGAATGGATGCTGAGGAGAGCCTAAAGGGAATTTAGGGTGGATGGCCAACACTGTCACTTAATGAGTGGAGGATTGTGAGCACCAAGTGGGGTGAAATGGGGGTGGAGGGGCAGGAAGCATCCAGGGCCAGGGAAATAAGGCTGAGGTTGAGCCCAGACACTCAGAAGTCCTGGAGGATCTCCAGCAGAGCGGGGAGGTAGGATAGCAGTTGCTGGCAGATGATCTCTTACATGGGGAACGCTGTGACACTGAAATATTATCAGCAGGCCAGGTGCGGTGGCTCATGCCTGTAATCCCGGCATTTTGGGAGGCCGAGGCAAGGGGATCACCTGTGGTCAGGAGTTCAAGACAAGCCTGACCAACATGGAGAAACCCTGTCTCTACTAAAAATACAAAATTAGCCGGGCGTGGTGGCTGGCACCTTTAATCCCAGCTACTCAGGAGGCTGAGGCAGGAGAATTGCTTGAGCCCAGGAGACGGAGGTTGCAGTGAGCTGAGATTATGCCATTGCACTTCAGCCTGGACAACAAGAGCAAAGCTCCATCTCAAAAAAAAAAAAAAAAAGGAAATATTTTCTACAATGAGTTTCTCTTTAAATGTTATTTATTTTTGCAGTTGTTTTTCAGATTGCAAATTGTAAAACAAAAAAAGAAAAAAGTGTTACAGAATCCTCTAATAGAGATATTTCACTGTCCCCACCTGCAAAGATAACCATCATTAGCAGTAAAGTTGCTTATTGACACTGGGATTAAAGTTTTAAAATAATCATTGGAAACTTTGGAGTTATAAACAGAAATATCCCCTTATTTTCCTAATTCCTTTATGGTTCATGAACTGACACTATTGGAAAGAGACCTTTTGGCTGTTTTTTCCCTCTGACTTTCAAAATGGGATGCTGTTGGAGAGTTCTGGTCTATATGAAACAGAGAAATGGAACCCCTTGCTCATCCTTGTCCTGCTTAGAGAAACCACAAGCCTAGGACCTGGAAATCCATTCAGTCTAGAGACTGTCAAAGTTGTAACTTCTGTGGGTAGCTGGGACAGCTTATTCAGGGTCATAAGGAAAGGTCAGAAAGACCATTAGAGCTCCCGCAGGCCATATCCCATATTGCATTGGTCTAATGGTTCAACTCTGTCTTCCAAAAGCATTTTTGAGGGTCTGGGTAGCAAAGGTTATCTCTAGTGTGGAAAGAATTACTCCAAGTCTCTGTGTCCCTGAAAGTGCTAAAAAAAAAAAAAACCTCCAAAAAACAAAACAAACAAACAAATGAAAACAGACATTGTACATTGATATGGGAGGTTAACAAGCCAGGAGAAACACAAACATGGCCACCTCCTATTGGTCTTTCAAAGATCGAAGGATCAGAAATAACAAGTTCTAATTTTGCCTAGTAATTTCCAGGGGTTGAAGTAAATCAAATTACCTCTTTAGCTGAGAGTATTTATGTCAAAGGAAAGTAATATTGTATGGGTATAATCCAGCACTTTGAAATTTATAGATGGGAAGTGATATGAGAACCAAACACTGAAAATCTTGGAGCAAATTGTGAAATTTATCCACTTTCTCTTTCACCTCCCTGACAAGTCTAAAGTGAAGGATGATTATGATGGTTATAAGACATGAAATCTGGAGAGATGACCGGTTACTGGTTTGGGTGTGCAAAGGAACAAATAATTATGGACCAAAGGTTGAGCAAAACTCCCGATGAGGAGTAGCTTATGGAGGGGAGGGTAGAAGCCCATGACCTTGTGAGGCTCAAGGGAGAAAGCAGCAAGTGCTTTGGATTTGGCCATGGTGAAGAGTTTTACCAGGAATGCAAGAATATACCTCGAGGATGTATATTAGATAAAGAAGTGAGAATTCCATAACAGGTAGGTTACTAAGGGTTACTCTAGAAGAGGTTTCCCTGTGGGGGTTTAAAAAGAAAATGGAATCTCACCGAGTCTAGTTCTGGCTGAAGGTAGAAAGAATGCACTGGAAAATGAAAATAGTAGCTTCCCTGTATAGGGCATCACAGTTTTTAAGACTTTTTATAAAAAAAAAATTTGTTCTTTTTGAGACAGGCTGGAGGGCAGTGGTGCATTCTTGGCTCACTGCAGCCTCACCTTCCTGGGATCAAGCTATTCTCTCACCTTGGCCCCCAAGTAGCTGGGACTACAGGCATGCGCCACCATGCCTAGCTAATTTTTTGATTTGTTTTATAAAGCTAAGGTCTCACTATGTTGCCTTGGCTGTTCTCAAACTTCTGGGCTCAAGCAATCCTCCTGCCTTTGCCTCCCAAACTGCTGGGATTACAGACGTGATCCAGAACGCCCGACCAGAGATTTATACTTTTAACGCTGACCCGATCTCATTTGACCCTCACTGAAGCTCTGAGAGGTAGGGCAGGGCCAGAATTACTTCACTTGTGAGGAAATTCAAAGACAAAGGGTTAAGTTCCAGTTGGCAGAAGAGAGATTCAGGAAGGATGGCAGACCCCGGAAGGTTTTGAAGTTCAGAGGGAAATGAGGATATTTTTTTTCTTTTTGAAGAAAACGTTTGTTCCTTTCCAGGTACACTTGATTACTCACTGTTAAGTAGGCGGAAGTCAATGAATGGGTAGGAGCCGCGGCGTTCAGCAGGAAACCCCGACTGACCCCTTAGTCGTACATCTCCTAGAAAACAGAAAATCCAAACAAAGGCTTGAAAACATTGCCACGTGTGTTCACTTTTCCCCTGTAAATCCTCTGTGAAACCAACCCCAGATGTCAGGAGAAAAATGATTCCCTTTCACCATGCTGATGAGAGTGCTATGTGGAAAGGGATATTTAATGCTGAGGGTAATGAAGTTGGCAATACGCTAACAAGGAACCACTGGTCTCTTGCATGTGTTTGAAGACGGGTCTCTGAAAATCACAGCGACTTACAAAGTTCCATAGTCTTTTTATGTTTCCCAGGATCACAAAGACAAAGTCTCTCAATCCAGAAAGACAAATGGCAGGTTGCACTGTAGCTTTCGTTCTTAGAAGTGTTAATCACCCAGACTGTAATTTCTCTTGGTTCCGGCACAACTGTTCTCTGACTGGCATCTGCTTTCCTTGTTTCCAGAGTGTATCATTGATGGGCTTTAGAATCGGCTCAAAGGCTAGCCTTGCTCCAGGCACTTGGCCACTCTTGCACATAGGACAATCTGTAGAGTTTCTAGTACTTATTTATTTGTAGGTTTTCTTTACTATTTAATATTTGTGTTCACTTTCCTTTTTGGTGTGTGTCCTGCCTTTCTGACTAGGGGAGGTAAGGGATTAGAGTGGAAAGAGCATGGACTTTAAAACAAGGTAGGTCTTGGAGAAACCTGGCCCAGACGCTTGCTACCTGTGTGATCTTGGCAGGTGTATTTCTCTAAGCCTCAGACGCCTCATTTATAAAATGAAGTTAAGATGCACTTCGAAGTGTCCTTGTCAGAGAACCTAAAACAATACTCACTGCCTGGCAATAAATGCTGGTTTACTTCCTTCTAAACTCCTGCAAAGCAGGAATCATGCATATCATGTTATTTACATTTCTCCATAGCACTTTGAATGCTGTCTGGTACTTAGTGGATTCTAAGTGAATGTTCTCTGTTGACAGGAGTAGAAATAAAGACCAAAGTCACCAGTTATTAAATATAATAAGGAATTAGAGGTAGAAATACATGAGACATAATCTATCTCTGGAAGAACTGAATCAGGGAAGGTTTTAATTCCAGTAGTAATGGGTTCACTCCCATAAATCACCTTTTTCCCAAACTAAGGTGGTACTGGGGTCCCAGTCTGGGAGCTGAAAGGAAGAACAATCCTCTCTCTCCTCCTTTCTAATTCCTGGAATTACTCAGGGCCTGGGTGAGAGCCCCGTCCGCGGCAACTCATGCAACTGATGTACTTAAAATGTCCCTCACAGATGGGCCTTGAGTGTACTTGGGGTTGTAAAGTGCAAGCCATGAGCTCTTGGGCTGTTCTCTGCTTTCAATTTTATATTGGTGCCTTCTTTAATGCTTCATATAATCTGATATTACATAGCCATATTGATATGAAAGAATATTGTAATTTATCCATAAATGTTATAAACCAAAGTGAGAGGAAGAGGAAATAGATGGAAAAGTATTTTTATGGGTACGAATATAGACTTACCTCAATGAGGGTAATGCTGTTAGCTTTAGAAAAATGTACTTAGGCATTTTGCTATGGGGTGGCTGGTCAATAGCTAAAGGAAAGCTACCAAGAAGAGTTGAAGTGTTTCTCTCTTCTCAGTAGTTGTCTTGAACACCCTATGTTTACAGAGCACTTTCACAACATCACAATACATTTATTTTCTTGTTTTTCTCACTGGATCTTCATAATAACCCTGTGAGGAGAGGAACCATTATTCTCTTTACTTTATAAGTGAGAAAATAGAGGCTCAGAGAAGAATGGTTGTGAAGGACTACTATTTGCTCTATAGTCCCAGGTAAGGACACAAGCCCCTAAAGTCCTGAGATAGTAAATATTTATGGACTTTAATTGAGCTAAGTTTATGGTGCTTTCAGCTTATAATCACCAGGGCTAGCACTTAAATCTAGGCTGCTAGACATCATAGGCAAAGTTCTCTTTGCAGTACCATTGGTCTCTAAGCTTATGTTTTGAAACACACACCTTGACAGGCAGGGTGGCTCACACCTGTAATGCCAGCACTTTGGGAGGCTGAGGTGGGTGGATCACCTGAGGTCAGGAGTTCAAGACCAGCCTGACCAACATGAAGAAACCCCATCCCTACTAAAATTACAAAACCAGATGGGCGGGGTAGCACGTGCCTGTAATCCCAGCTACTTGGGAGGCTGAGGCAGGAGAATCTCTTGAATCTAGGAGGTGGAGGTTGTGGTGAACCGAGGTCGCGCCATTGCACTCCAGCCTGGGCAACAAGAGCGAAACTCTGTCTCAAAAAAAGGAAAAAAAAGAAAGAAACACACACCTTATGGAGTATGTAGGTGCAGACCTGGTTTTTAAAATGAAAAAAGAAATGAAAATCTTAGATCCTCACATAAAAGTTGTAGTTTTGATATCAGTTGAGAAAATGCAGCATGTTAAAAGGATATAACAGACTTGCTGATTTTAAATAAATTTATGTTTTATAATGATAAGAGGGACACATACGGTAAAAACGATGCATGGAGGAGACTGTATATGTTTTGTCTACAAAGCTGGCTGGGCTGTGGATGTGCTGACCTGTTGCTGTAATCTCATGGGCTCCTTCCAGTTCACCTTCTGGAAATCACTTCTCCATTAGTATTTTCTTCTCAGCATCACCAAAGAGTTCTTCTTCACTTTGTAGTTATGAGGCTACCATTTCCCCAGAAAATGTCTATGTAATATTGATGAACATTTTAACGCCTGTGACAGGAGTCTTCCTGGTGTCTGCCTGAGAGTCTAAGGCAGAGGAGGCCCATTATCATGTAAGGTTTTAGATTTAGGGAAACTGAGGAAGAGTACCCTGTGGCCGAATGGATGAAGGGAGGGCAACACACTGGGAACCTGGGGGCTCCTGTACTGAGAGGACCAGCATTTTGCCATCTTGGGTAACCTTGGATAAATCAATAATCACTTTGAAGTCCAGTTGTCTAATATTCCAATTGCATAAATCATAGCACTTCTGTCTACATTACAGAGTTGTAAGGAAATTATAAGGTATGTGAAAATATGGTAGTTAACATTCATTGAATACTTACACTGTGCAGCATTTTACATGTATTATCTCACATCATCAACCCAACAACCCAAAGTAGGTATTATTATTTGACTGTTTTGCAGATGAGGAAACAAAGCCAATGGAAATTTGATAATTTGTTTGGGCTTATAGAGCTACTAAGTGCAACCTTGTGTTGAAACTCAGAACTGACTTGAAACCTCATGTTCTTAACCACTCTCCTATATTATTAAGATGAAAAATTATTTAAACAGATCAGCATTAAATTTTTCTTACATAATACATGCTTTGATTGCCCTTTGCCAATAAACCGAATATACAGTCATCATGATTTGTGGAAAAAGAATACCAGGAGAATCCCACTCCCTTGATGAGTTCAAGGTTCAGTCGAAGAGCAGTTAAATGGAAATGAGCTGTTTAAGTAAGACAACCAAATCCTGTTCTGGGTCAACAAGGAATGTATTACTTTCAAGTAAGAAGGCAATTATTAAAAATATTCTTCAGCAGAACTGAAATTAGCTGGCAACAAATTTTCACATTGCATCCTACTTTTGGGAAGAAGAGACAAATAACAATGGAGCCAGATGAGAGCAAAGATACCTAAACAAGCAAACAAACCCAAACAAATCAGCAATAACAAATAAGGAAACCATACCTGGAAGATTCCATTTCCGTGCTGACACTGTCCGTAACTACAATTGCACTTTGAGAAGCTGATTCCTCATAAACCTAACAATACCCCTTGGTGTAGTAAATAATCATTTTCTAAAGGATGAAACCATGTTAAAAATACTAGTAGAGCAGGAGGCAGGATAATTGTAATCATGCTAACAATGCATCTGAGAAATTTCATAACATAAAAACAATTCAATACAAACAAACCAGACTTTCCTGATCTTAAGCATTCTACTTAATGGAAGCACTCATGTAGTAAGATTTATGTTTTAACTGTACATTTCTAATATAGAAAGTTTTCTTTCCTTCTCCCTGCCTTGAGGAGCCCGTTCTGATACTAAATTGCTTTAATACTGGTGGGAAGAGAGAATTAACTGAGTAAAAACAGTCCTCAGAGGAGCACAGGCCACTGGGCTGTTGTCCGAGGGACAGAACAAGCGGTGTCCTGCCGAGCTGCTTTTCCTGGCCCGGGGTCTCAGGCAATCATCTATTTACCTAAGGCCTTATACCAAGCTAAACAATTATTTTGACTATTCATTAAGCCCTTGTTTAACTTAAGCAGCTTGTGTTTTTTTTCTCTTCTGGCAAATGAAAGGTGCCGTGGAAGCTGGTAGGAAGCGTTGACAGCCCAGAGTCATGTCCCCAGTCTCTTCTTATTGTGTTCCAAAAGGAAACAAACAGCAGGGGCATTCTGATTTTGAAAGGGCTGCTGCTTTTTTGCTCCTTCAGGCTGACAACATAACATGTCATCCCCTGGACTGAAGGCTGCAGACAGGCCCAGAGCTGAGCCGAATTGCCCTAGGAGCCTTGACCCGATGACAGCCCCTCACCCTCCCTGGGGACATGGCTCCGGAATGGACCTCTTGCTTACTTGGCCTCTCGTACTGCCTCTGGTTAATAAAAGCTTGTGCTAGGGAGCAGACGTCTATGTGGCCTCTTATGTAACTGGCAAAGAGGATGGAGACTCTGATGGTGATGACAACTTACAGTCGCTGAAACATGGGCCATGTGACAAGAACCAGACTCTGGCCCCCATTGTGTTGTGTCAAGGTCATTTCAGGGTGTGAGGAAAAGACGTCAGAGAGGGACAGAGCAGTAACTACTGTGCTCTCATGGCATCTGAGATGAATGAAGAAGACAGTGACATTCTTGGCATAAACAGGTTGCATGGAACATAGGCTAGAGATTCATAGCAGGGGGGTCACTGAGGAACCAGGAAGACGAGATAGGGCTGGTGTCAGCAAGATGAAGTTGCAAAGCAGCCCAAATATGGTGGAAAGAAGCA